CTTGGCGGAGGACTTGCAGGCATGGGGGGTGAGCTTGAGCCCCCTTTCTGGGCCTGGGGATTGAGCCCCGTGCAGGGCTGCCTGGCTGATGGCAGAGGTGGGCAGATGGTGAGGACTCCCTAAGCACCCGGGCTTCTCACAGACGTCAGGCAGAGTGGGCGAAACAACTCCTAAAATAAATCCCCAGGACTTGGCTCACGGAGGCAGTCAGGCTGAGACTAGGAGTGCATGCTGTGAAGGGAACGTGAAAACAAACCGGGGGCCTGAAGGAGGGCAGCTGAGGCCCTGGATCTCCCCACAGAGTGACCCCCAACTCCTCTAGTGGGGACCCCCACCGATTGCTATAGCTTATGGACTCTTGGAACAGGAAGCAGAAGCCTGAAGTATCAGATACCTCAGCTACTCTCGGCTGTTTGGGGCTCCATCTCTCTGTTTAGTTCATTTAGGCCCCTGGGCTAATCCCGAATCTACGCCCCGCCTGAATGGAGTGGGGTGGCTGGGAGGTGGAGAGAGGAGGGTTTATCTCCTTAGCACCTCCCACCCTCTCCTATGAGATCTGAAAAGATTTGTGGGGGAGGGTAGGGATGACAGCTGGGTTTTGAAGATTGATGGAAGTGAGGTTTTGTGCTTTTGATTGTGTTTGTTTTTATGAGATTATCCATGGCTTTTCACTCCAGATGTTGACTTTTATCCTTAGGGAGAGGGAAGGCAGAACTGCTTACTCACTCTGGAACTCTTCCAGTCTAATGGGGGAGAAACAGAAGAGCCACTGGTCTGACCAGGCAGCACCTCAGAAAGTAACCCGCATAGCAAGACTTGGCTCTGCCACCTACTTCTGTGACCTTGACCAAACCATTTCTAGTCTCCCGGCCTCAGTTTACTCTTCCGTAAGTGAGGGGGTTGAGTAAACGATATCAGATCTTTTTTGGTTCAGGTTCTATGATTCTCAGTACAAAGTGGGCCTGGGGAATGCCTTAGTGATCTTTCTTCCTTCATCTTATCACTCTCTGAAATTATCTTGTTTTGTTTTTGTTTGCTGTCCACCTTCATCCCTAGGCTATGCTTTCTAGGAGGAGGGCTAACCACTGTATGTATCCCCAGGACAGTGGTGGGCACACAGTAGGTCCTCACCTCCTATCTGTGGAATGTAGAGTGTCCGTCCACTCAGGGGTTGGAGGGTTGGGGTGTCACTTGTCGAAGGAGTGGCTTTTGTCTATAAATGCTGATAGCACTCAGGAAAGAAGCTATCAAGTAAGGTTGGAGAGTTTATCTGAGAAGACTTCCTGGAGGAGGTAATGAAAAGAAACAGATTTGGAATGCTAATTAAGTATTCTGATTAACAAAGGACTTGAAGGACCGTGGGCTTGGAAGTACTTTCTCGGCCCTACCTACTGCTCCTGAGGAA